AGGAAAGACAGTGAGACTCCTATCTCCAATAAACCATTAGAAAACTGGAAGTGGTGCTGTAGCTCAAGTGGTAGAGCGCTCGCCTTGAGCTGAAGAGCTGAGGGACAGCACCCAGGCCCAGAGTTCAAGCCCCACGACCGACTGGGAAAAAAAAAAAAAAACGGTCTATGAGACTCATATGTCCAACAAACCACCAAAAATCTTAAGTGGTAGAACAATGGCCTTGAGCAAAAATTACCTCAGCCACAGTGCCAAGATTCTGAGTTCAAGTCCCAGTACAGGCAGATAGACAGACAGACAGGCAGGCAGGCACACACACACACACAAATGTTAGCCAGAAGTGGAGCTGTGGCTCAAGTAGTAGAGCATCAGTCTTGAGAGAAAAAGCTAAAGGATAGCCACTAGGCCCTGAGTTCAAGCCCTAATACTGACCCCTCCAAAAGGGGAATATACATGCCAACTTCACTTGTAAAAACCTCAAAACAAGAATATTTCCAGAATGGTATATGTCCCTCAGATTCTCCTGAAATCTGTGCTTTTATTTCGTATGGTCTCAGCGTTCATTTTTGTCTTTGTGGTAAATTGTTACTGATTAGGACTGAATAGAAAATTAACACCTACTGATTTATTGTTTATTCTCCAGAAATGGGAAGAATTTGATGAAAACTATGCTGCTCCTGAGAAAGACTAATCAGGTATTTTTGAGAAAGTCTTGCTTTTCCCCTGGGCTTGCTTGGACCATGATCTTCTTATTTGCCCTACCTATAGCTGGGATGAGAAGTGTGGCCACTGCCCAGGTATTGGTTGAAAGAGAGTCTCCAAACTTTTTGTCCAAGTTGGCCTTGAATTGCAACCCTTCCAGTCTCCACCCCCTGAGAGGCAGGATTACATCAGCACTCATTCAGTACTGTTGGTATTTAGGCTTCTTTTTATATTACATAAGTCTTGTTATCTAATTATCTTACAGCATTTAATAAGAACTTATTAAAGAACATCCTATCATGTGAGGTATTTATATGGAACAGCTGGAGAAGGTGAAGCAAGAGGTCAGTCTAATAACACTATGGGAATAGTGGTAGGTGTGGACACAGAAATGGAATGTAATTTGTCTAGACACTTAAGACTGCTTCATTCATTGGTAGTAACTGCTTTCATTTATGTATCAAATGATTTCAAATAAAAATCTTGATTTTGTGGAGCAATAATACTAAACACAACTTGCCTAATTTAACAAAAAATGCATCTTGTTTTATATATATATATATATAAAATTTGGAGAGGGGAAGGGGAATAACAAAATGCTGAAACAAGGACATAGGATGACCCATTGCAACAATGATACTCACAAGATACTATGTTGTAAATGAACTTTACAACTTGGGGTGGGATGGGGTGGGGTGGGCAGGGCGAGTGGGGGAAGTGGGGGAGGAGAGGGATATTAGGAGAAAACAAAGGAAGGGTAACAATGTTCAACAAGAAATGTACTCATTAAGTTACTCATGTAACTGTAGCCCCTCTGCACAGCATCTTTACAATAAAATAAAATAAAAAAAATTCAGTACAGGGCTGGGAAGGTGGTAGAGTGCTTGCCTTGCATGTATGAGGCCCTGGGTTTGATTTCTCAGCACCATATAAGCAAAAAGAAAAAACCAGAAGTGGCGCTGTGACTCAAGTGGTAGAGCGCTAGCCTTGAGCTGAAGAGCTGAGGGACAGCGCCCAGGCCCAGAGTTCAGGCCCCATGACCAACAACAACAACAACAAAAATCAGCACAAAACATTCCATTTTTGGGATCGTTAGAATTATTTTCATGGAGTATAGAAATTAAATTTAGTGCTTAAGGCACTTAGGGTTCTCAAAGTGCTTTTAATTCTATTCTTTAATGTCAGATTGTGACTTTTTTCCTTTTGTGGTGTTAGGTTGGAATTTAGGGCCTTCCACATGCTACATAACCAGGTATTAGAGCCCTGAGCTTCATCTTCAGCCCTGTGAACTCAGGTTTGATTCTTTTGCTCAAAGGCTGGTGCTGTATCACCTGAGCTACATCTCCAGCCCTTCTATATACTATATTCTTCAGAAAAAATGTCCCCTTTTCCATATTAAACACTTTTTAGAAGGAAGTTACTATACATATGTCACCATTAAGGGGTATGCCTTTGCATTTTACTTCCTAGAGTGTAGAGTATAGGGGAGATTTGTCTGTCTGCCCTCTGTTTATTTTGTCAGTGATATACTATATATACTTATATACTATTAACCTATAGATATTTAATATTTGGGCTATAAAAATCTATCTATCTATCTATATACACATACTTTCCCCAAGAAGTGTGTGTGTGTGTGTGTGTGTGTGTGTGTGTGTGTGTGTGTGTGTTGGTCCTGGAGCTTGAACTGGGGCTTGGACCCTGTCCCTGAACTTTTTAGCTCAAGGCTAGTGCTCTACCAGTTGAGCCACAGTTCCACTTCTGATTTTTTTGTGTGGTTAATTGGAAATAAAAGCCTCACAGACTTTCCTGCCTAGGCTGGCTTTGAACTATAATCCTCAGCTCTCAGCCTCTTGAATTGCTAGGATTAAAACTGTAAGCCACTAGTGCTCAGCTTCCAATAATAGCTTTTGTATGATTTTCAAAGTTAATAAATAGGTGTTGGGAATGTAGCTCAGCAGTAGAGCTCTTTTTCTAGTACTCGTGAGGCCCTGGCTTCATCCCCAGCACTTGAACCCTCTCTCTCTCTCTCTCTCTCACACACACACACACACACCATCAACAAATATAGGTGAACACCATAACTTTTAGAAGTTTTATAGTATATAATTGATCTACAGATACACATTTTAAAATTGTTATTATAAAGGTTATGTACAGAAGGGTTACAGTTAAGTAAGTCATGTAATAAATAGAGAGGTAGGGTCCTGATATGTATTCCAGTTGTCCTTGAACTTATAATCATGAGTGTTGGGATTGCAGGTGTGAGCCACCACATCTGACCTGATATTCATTTTTGCTTTCAAATTTTCCTAATTTCCTACAGTTCTACCAGAGCATTCTTGTACATTCATTTTGTGCATTTGTGTTTGTGTCTGTTCCTCAGTTTACTATTTATGTTAGTCAGCTTTTGGTTATAGTAACAAATACCTGAGTTAATTATCTTATAAAGAAGAAAGATTATTATTGGATGCATGGCTTCAGTGGTCAAGTAAAGCCTTGAGCTCAAATTAAAGTACTGAGGAGAAGCAGGAGGAGGAGGAGATGGAGAAGGGGGAGGAGGAGGAAAAATGATTAATTTTGGCTGCAAACTTATGGAAGCCTCATTTTGGTGTGTGTATGATGTGTGTGTGTGTATGTGTGTGTGTGTGTGTGTGTGTGTGCGTGCTCTCTCTCTCTCTCTCTCTCTCCAGTCCTGGTGCTTGAACCCAGGGCCTGGGCACTGTCCTTAAGCTTCTTTTGCTCAATGTTAGCACTGTACCATTTGAGCTACAGGGCCACTCCAGCTTTTGCTGTTTATGTGGTACTGAAGAATTGAACCCAGGGCTTCATGCATGCTAGGCAAGCACTCTACCACTGAACTACATTCCCAGTCTCCATTCTTAATTGGTCCTGTGTCTTTTGGGTCTGTGGCAAAATAGTACATGACAGTGAGGAACATGTGCAGAAGCAGCTTATACATATCACAGCCAGAAATGAAAGAGAAAAAGGAATATTCCACAGTGCCTAATCCCTTCGCAGGAGAGGGTATCCAATGTCCTAAGAACTCTCCTCCAGGCTTGTCCTCTTAAAGTTTCCACCACTTTCCATCTATACTCACTAACTCTTAGATTGAGGACTAAGCCTCTGGGGAATTTTAGGTAGTCTAACCGATAGCCTTATATTTATATTTGTCCTTACACAGAGATCACACTTGAATTGCGTTCCTGTTTGCTCAGGCATATCCCACTTCTCATGGTTTATGCTATTTTTCTCAAGCTGGAATGCTGCTTGCTCTTGCCCACAGAAGTCCTGTGTACTATTCAGGGCTGAGTCTATAGGCTTCTTGCTGCGGAAGCTATTGTCCAGTGTTCTAAAGAGAATTTAATGGTCCCATTTTACCTCTCTCAGTTGCACATATAACACAGTATCATCTGAACTGCATTGTGTATTGTAGGGCTGTTTTTTCTCACTAGTTTATAGAGAGAAGCTGAGATGCAGTCAATCACAGTACTCTGTGTATCTGACCACACTGGTGTACACATCAATAGGAAGCATATTTTGATATAGTTGAAGAATCTCACTCACTGAGAAATAACACATGCCTTCAATACTGATTGCTATGCTTCTTTTACTTGGTATTCAACTCCAGGACACAGAGAATATAAGTTTAGTTTTAGAGTGGAAGCAGCAGTGTTAGCTGATAAACATTTTTTTCTTGCTGTCTATCAAAACTGCTGGTTGACGACTTTAGAATTGGAGTCTATGACTTCTGCAAGGAGCGTCTTCAATGTGCCAAGTATTCCAAAGAAATGTCTGTAAGAACACGGATCTGAAGTAAGTAAACGTTGCCTCTGATTCTTCTGATTTCCTTTTTAAGTAGTCAGGTGGCATAATTAGTATGAAGAGGTAAATGCCAAATGAAACAAATCAGACACAAAACCAAACCACCGTGTTAGTTAGGTTGTGACATTATGTCAGTGAGTTGAGGCTAAAGACCTGGTGCAGCTGTCCTGATCGATGATCCCCAAAGCCGGCACCTAGGAGGATGTGCAGCCCTTCTGTTAATACCCGACATCTCCAAGGCCACCAGCCGTCCAGCAGGCGGCCCGCGACAGACGCGCGCGCTGACACCTCCAGCCGCCCTCTCCCGAAGGCCCTGCAGCGCGCCAGGGGGCGCCCCGCCTCCGCGCGCCTCGGACCAATCATCTGTGGGATCTGGGGGCACGTCCCGCTGCTGGCCACGCCCCCCGCGGGCGGTGGGGGGCGCCTTTAAGAAGCGGCCGCTGGCCGCGGGCTCCGTCGGGGGTGCGGGGCGGTGGATTGTGAGGCCCGAGTGCCGGGTGCTGAGGTGTCGGCTGGCTCGCGCGCCTCCGCCGTCTGCGCCGTGCGCCGCCCGCCCACCTGGCCTCTCCTCAGGGGCTCCACCGCTTTTGCCTCGGCCTTCGGAGTCAGCCCGCGCCGCCCGCCCTCGCAGCGCCTCCGCGAGCCACCCGGGAGCTCGCGCCCTCGTGCCCTCCCGGCGCCCGAGGGGGCCGCCTCGGGCCATGGTGCCCTCCCAGGAAGAGCCCGCCGCCGCCGCGGGGAGGACCGGCGACGCGCCGCCGCCCGACCCCGAGCCCTCGGGGGACACTTCGCAGTCTGGCCCGGGACCCTCAGACGGCTCTGAGGCGGCCGCCGAGAAGGTGGAGGTGGAGCTGGGGAGACCGGCGGGCGCGGAACCCCGGGAGCCCCCGGAGGGTGGCTGGGGCTGGCTGGTGATGCTGGCGGCCATGTGGTGCAATGGGTCGGTGTTCGGCATCCAGAACGCTTGTGGGGTGCTCTTCGTGTCCATGCTTGCGGACCTTCAGCTCCAAGGACGATGACAAGATGGTCTTCAAGACAGGTGAGGCGATGTCGGCCCGCCCGGGGCGAGTGGGAGGGGAGGCGGCGGCCGGAGCCGGGGTTCCCGAGCGCATCCCGCGTGCGAGGTGCGTGCGGGCGCCCCGCGCGCGCCCCTGCCGGTCCCCGTGCGCCGCAGGGGGGCGAGCGGCTGGGCGGTCTTGCCCCGGCCTCCGGTGCGCGGGTCTTTGTGTGGAATCCACATGTAGGGACTGAGTGTCTGGGAACAAGTCGCAGAACTTATTTGCCCCCCGCCGTCCTCCTGTCCCCTTTCAGCTGGGTGCCCAACGGTGCTTTTTATTTTATTCGTTTTATCCTTGAAGGATGGAAAACAAACACTCTTCCTGCATCGACCACCTCACGTTGTCAGTTTCACCGTCTCTTTCGCGACCACAACTGCTGCAGGGTGGTTGATCTTCCTGTTGGGATGCAGAGGGGTGTGTGTGTGTGGAGGGGAGGGGGGTGGTGGAAGGGTAGCAGCAGTTTGGCTGGTTGAAAAAAAATGTACCCCAAGGTCACAGGAAGTTCTGAAGGGAGCCCTTGGAACGCTATGGTTTGGTGCTGCCACTCACTCTCCCTTTTTGTACTCCGGGAAATACAGAAGGCTTGGGAGGCAGCCACATCGTGCAGTGGGAAGAGGAAGGTGAGGGGCTGCCCCTTCCTGTTGCATTCTTTGATATTTTCTACCACTTAGTACATTACACGCAAAAGGCGCCAACTCAGAACCCCCCCCCACACCCAGCCTTATTACTAGATTTCTTGATTGATTAGGCAAAAAACAAGTCTTAAGACCTCCTGCATAATACTCTCCTCTCCTATTTTAAAGACAGTCTCTCTATGTTGCCTGCTGGGCAATAATGTTTAACATTTATTTATTTATTTTCTTACTTACTTATGTATGTTTTGTGCTGGTCTTGGGGCTTGAACTCAAGGCCCTGGCAGTGTCCCTTAACTTTTTTTGCTCAAGGCTAGAATTCTACCACTTGAGCCACAGCTCTACTTCTGGCTTTCTTGGTAGTTAATTAGAAATTACAATACCATGAACTTTCCTTGCTGGGGCTGGCTTCAAACCATGATCATCAGATCTCAGCCTTCCCAGTAGCTAGGATTACAGGCGTGAGCCACGGACCCTCGACTAACTTTTAATTTTTAAAACGAGTTATTTTGCTATGTGTTGATGGCTCATGCTTGTAATCCTAGATACTCAGGAGGCTGAGATCCCAGGACCAAGGTTCAGAGCCAGCCTGGGGAGGAAAGTCCGTGAGACCCTTATCTCCAATAAATCACTCAGAAAACCGGAAGTGGCACTGTGGCTCAAGTGGTAGAGCATTAATTAGCTTGAGCTGAAGAGCTGAGGGACAGTGCTCAGGCCCAGAGTTCAAGCCCCACGACCGACAAAAATAAATAAATAAATAAATAAATTAAAAGTTAAAACTGGATGCAGTTTTGAAGCCAGGGAGCAGGAAGGTCCTCGAGACTCTTACCTCCAATTAACCACTAAAATTGCCCGAAATGAAGTTTTGGTGTGATTGGTAGAGTGCTAACCTTGAGCAAAAAAAAACCCCCAAAAACAAGAAAACATGTTTCTTAGGTTTTAGTGTATATGCAAAGAGCAGGACTATGATAAAGTCTAAGGCAAAGGTAACATTAAGGTTTTTTAAATTAATTAAATGATTTTGGTACTAGAGTTTGAACTCAGGGCCAACATTCTCCTTTAATTTTTTTTTTTTTTTTGTTGGTCATGGGGCTTGAACTCAGGCCTGAGCACTGTCCCTCAGCTCTTCAGCTCAAGGCAAGCACTCTACCTCTTGAGCCACAGCGCCACTTCCAGTTTTCTGAGTGTTTTATTGGAAATAAGAGTCTCACGGCCATTCCTGCCCGGGCTGGCTTTGAACCATGATCCTCAGATCTCAGCTTCCTGAGTAGCTAGTATTACAGGCGTGAGCCACCAGTGTCCAGCTTCTCCTTTAATTTTTGTGCTCCAGATAGGACTCTTACCATGTGAGCCACAGCTTTACTTTCAGCCTTTTTATTGGTTAATTGGTAAGAGTCACAAATTGTAGAACAGTTCTGTGTTTAGTCTTTTGTGGAATCTCCAAACCACCAGAGTAGTATTGTACTAGTTTACCTTCCCACAAATAATGTGATAAAGTTCCCTTTTCCCCAATCTCTGTTAGCATTTGCTATTGATCATATTCTTGATGTGTTGACAATGAGGGGTGTTTCTTAGAGACAATAAATGATTGGATCTACACTGTTTCTTGCCATTTTGTTATTTTCCTGTTGTTTGCTTCTTTCCTCTTCCTATTTTACTAATCTAATTTTCCAGCATTGTTCACTTCTGTATTTCTTTTGATTTCGATTGTCTTCTTCTGAGACTATGCATAACTTTAATATCTTTTGTAGTGCTGGTTTAGTGGTCATAAGTTCTTTTTGTTTATCATGGATGTTTTTTGTTTCTGCATCAATTATGAATGATAGCTTCACTGGTTGACAATTGTTCAAAGCTTGAAATCTAGGTTCTCCTTGCATTTAGAGTTTGTGTTGAAAATCAAATTTCAAATATTTTTCCCATTATAATAAAGTTCCCTCTTTAATTTTTCTGCCTTTAAAATTAATTCCTTATTTTTAAGTCCACAGTTTCACAGTTAGCATTTTAAGACTAGTTCCTGCAGCATTACCATACTCTTGACAAATGACAATATAGTCAAACAACTGTTGTTTATCATTGCTTTTGCAAACTCAGGTAGGTAGAATTCATTTTTCTTCTTTTGAGATAGAGAGAGAGACAGAGAGAGGGCAGGAGAGAGAGAGAGAGAGAGAGAGAAAGAGAGAGAGAGAGAGCGAGCGCAAACTTCTCATCTCCAAATTTCCAATTGGCTATAATGTTCTAGTACTATTGAGCTGAAGGTGAGTGTGAGTGTATTAGTCAATAGCTTTCCCTAACTGCAAAGTATCTGGTAATAAAAAAAGGCTTATTTTGTCTCACAATATTGGAAGTTTCAGACCATACTTGTTTGGTACCATTGTTTTTAGACTGTGGTAAGGGAACTGGTTATATGTGGCAATGTATATATGGAGGAAAACCATTTACCTCATCAATAGGACTGAAAGAGATTTTAGAGAAGAGTCCCACAGTCTCCCTTGAAGTTTTGCTCTCAGTGAACTAAGACTTCTCACTTAAAAATTCCACCCAATAGTGCCAAGATGGGGACCAAGACTTTAACACATGTACTTTTGGGAGACAGTCTAGATCCAAGCTATAACAGTGAGGAAAAACAGCAAAGAAAAGGAAAGGAGCTTATTTTGTCTTTTGAATTCTTTGGAACTCTATACTTAGTTTTGATTAATATCTTTGGTATTTTACTCAGTTCAAATCTTTCAGCCAGCTTTGTGTATGTGTGAATGTATATAGTACAGATGTGTGGTATGCCAGCTAAAACTATGACAGTCCTGGTGCTTATCTGTATGACTGCTGTGTATGGCTTTAGCCAAAGTAGCCTATTCTCTGGGTTCCCTAGTTCCAACAAAAGGGCCCTGTGCACTTGCACTTGTGATGGCTCTGTATAACACAGCAGCTAGGTTGAACAATGGGGTTTTGCTTTGGTGTTAGGTAATAAATATATAATTGACACATTTAAAGGCTGGTGAAGATGCAGTGCAGTGGGAGACTCTCTGGGATCTTGCTGGGCATTAATCTGATTTACTTATCTTCTGCTTTCTTTCTGGAAAAGGGCAAATATTTTAACAGTATATTTGACTTTAAAAACACCTGTTTAAAACAAATATGATTTAGAATTGGTTTATGAGCTTTAATTTTCTCAGAATTTTCAAAATGTGTTCTTTGGTAATCTTTTGAAAGTGGCAGTCTGCACACTGTATTCTTCCTTGGATATTTAAAGTGCAAATTAAGAGATTAAACACAAGATTGTTTAAGAGAAAAGGTGTCTCTTAGGTCACAGAAAGGGATGCTCTTTTGCCACAAACTTTAATGCAACTCTACCTTCCCGGTACAGTGATAAGTTACTTCTTAGACACTTATAATCACAAAATGGAATTTTCTAAAACATTTAGGAATGAATACATCTTGCATTATTACCTTATAACCCCCATGCTGGAAGTTTATCTAAACACCAAGATGTCACTTTTACAGTTATGTATCTACTGTAGACAAGTTTACACTTTCCATTTGAAGCCTTGACTCTTTGATTCTACTGAAAAAAATGGGTACTAGACACATTCACAGGAAAAAAAGGAGAAAAGCCATGGAAAACTAAGTTAATCATATTTTTATAGGACATGATAGCTTTTGGATTGAAGATGCAAAGATCCAGGGTGATCTCTCTATTTTTATGCTTAGGTTTGATGAAGTATGGATAGCTGTGTAAAATTATTATTGGACAAAAAGGATATGATCTAATAGTAATAGACTAAGGGAAAAATCAGCAAAGCCTATCTGCCAAGTTCTTCTTGGCTCTCTAGTTGTAGTAGTTCTTCCTCCTGGGTAGGGGACAGGACCCTTTCTGCAATAACGGCCAATAAGGGAGGTCAAAGAATTTCTTTATGTCTAGAAAAGAAAGTATATGTGTGGGTGAGGTAGAGTAATTTTTATTTTTTATTTTAGGTTTTATGGCTAGCTTTGGGGAAAGGGCTATAGTTTCCATAACTTACCTTGGGGAAGAGGAATTTGAGTTGTTGTAATTTGCTTAGAGGAGAGTGAGGGCGAGAGCAGTAGGGCAGGAGAAGATCTGAGAGAAACTGCTTCCCTTTGGGGTATAGTGTTTTTAAAATTATTATTATAAAGGTGATGTGCAGAGGTGTTAAAGTTAAGTAAATCAGGTAAAGAGTACGTTTCTTTTTAGAGTACCACTGCTGCATTTGTTAACAGGATTTTTTCAGGAGTGGTTTTGAGGTAACTTTGGGATGTTATAATATGGGTTATTTTTTAAATGATTATTTCTTTATCTTTTTTTCAGCTTCTGAGATTGAACTTGCACATGTTTA